TGCGGCTCGGCGCATTTGTGGCAAATGGCTTTTGAACCACAGTTCGTCAGGGAATGCCCGAATTTTTGGCACTTCTTGCACTGTGGGATATGTTTTATGTTGAGGGGAGAGTTTGGGTTGGGTTTTGTTTCGGGCTTTCTAAGGTAGAAAGACGCTCAGACAGTTTGTTTACGTGATGGTTTAGTTTTGCCAGAGGCGCTTACCGTCTTCCGGTTTTTGGGCGAGTCCATCCTGGATCACTTGGGGCTTTCCAGAGCCCTAACAAAAAGGGGACCTGCACGCGGCTCTTAGGGAGCTTTGTGCTCGAATTTACTTTTGGAAATTAATAAATTTCTACGGGACACTAATACTGGATCGTGTTCGCTGAACTGTGTGTCGACTTTGAAGTGGTTGTTGCCAACTGTTTTCACTAACGTGTTAACTGCTTGAGCACAGGGAGTGTTCCGTTCCGCTTCAGTACGGCCTTGAACATTATTTATTTCAGACAAATTTTTTACAAATTTCTTACTGCTAACTTATCTACGAGTCTTAATTCTAACATCTTTAGAGTGTTTTACACTCTGTGAAAGCTGACATCACTGACTTAACCTACCTTAATCTACCTTAACCTACTGTGGGCACATTACCCCTAAGTTTAGACCTAAATCTAATACATCTTCTCTTGTTACCTAAACTAACTTACAGCTAGTCCTAGTCTACAATGCTAATTGACTAACCTAATTAGTACAATTGCCCTCTACCTTATTCTACTTAAACTTAAGCCTACTACAACCTCTCTTGCTTCCTAAATCTAACGTAAAGTAAACCTAATAACCTTAATACTTAAAAATCCTAAACTTAAAAGTCTAAAACCTAAAAGTCTAACGTTCTACAATGCTAATTAACTTAGCTAATTAGTACAATTGCCCTCTGCTTGTTCTACTTAAAAACTTAAGCCTAATACAACCTCTCTTGCTTCCTAAATCTAACGTAAAGTAAACCTAAAAATTAGCCCATGGTCCTCGATGTGGTGC